TCACACTTATAATAACAAGAAGTACGTTGTCTGTTCTAATTTATTTTTGATACATTACCATTTTTATTTCAAGAAAATTATAGTCATTGAACCTAGTTGCTATAGTTAAGAATATCTAAGGAAATTAAATATTTCTAGAGTTTTAAAATTAGAAAACAGATTTCTGGCACTGTGCTCTTTCTGGAATTTTGTAAAAATGTGCTAAGGAATTATTATAAGTGGACTTCACATTAGGCAAACAGGCTAGGGCAGAAAGAGCTGGCTCTGTCAGAATCGGCTGCACCACAGGCAAGTCTCTATGCTTCTCTGTGCCGCAATTTCCCCATTTATAGGATGTGGAAAATAATATCTAAGCTCCCTTCCTTCCCTAAGAACTAAAGATGCTAATTTGAGATATTATTTGCCTTCTGTTGCCAGTCAGTTTCCCAATGTGGTTCATTTTGACCCTGCTAAACGTAGCTGAAGAAGAGAAGAAATCTTTATTAAAAATCTAAATAGTGTGGTGGGCATAGCACATGCTTAGCATGCACAAGGTCCTAGGTTCAATCCCCAGTACCTCCATTAAAAAAAAGAATCTAAATAATCAATAGGAGATGTGCTTTCATTTTTACAACCCCATCACTAGAAGAGCTATTTAATTCAGTACACATATATGTGGGACTGATTAAGAGACCTGATGTATTTACTAGCAATATTTTCAGACAGAGTTTATAAGTACCAAGCTGAGTCTCCGTCTTTCAAAGAACTTTTCTGTAAGCTCTGAGTAAGGATTTGATTTACAACTCTCATTCTTTTGCCTTAATAATGGGAAGTTTTTCCATACGAAGCCGGGTCTCTCCTTAGCTCAATGTCCTAATTTCCCCTTGTCAAAATAGCTTTTTTAGGGAGTCTCTATTGTTCTCAGTTAATTTTAACACTAAATTAAAAGCGTCATATGGTGATGATTTTAAAAACATTTTACTTCGGATGCCAAAAGGTACCTCTTAAACTACTTCAATCATAATTGTTACCATCGTTACAATAAGGTTTTCATATAGAATCTCTCTCCGACCTCAAAGTGTTCTATAAAGACCACACTTTGAAATTTTGTTCTCTCCAAACATACCCCATACATTAGATAAGGGGTCGCTGACCTCCTCTTGCAGACTTAATAGTCAGGAGAGTGCATAACTTCCCACTGGATTCAAAGGAAATAGTGGCATTTAAATCCTAAATCTAATAATCTAATGCTATTCCAGTGGCTTACCCTCTTTTTCGCCTTTTTTGATTCCAAGTTTTCTAAAATCATCTGGGAAGTAATAGATCATATTTAATTGTTCAGGCTTTTAGGCTGTACTTTCAGAATCGCTTCTGATTTGTGGTCTGGCTCTAGTTCAGTTTTACCCGACACGAGGTTTATTTCATCGGCCCTGTATCAAAGCTTCCTCACTTTAGCCAGAAATTAAAATAATAGCTTGACGTTTCTCCTCCCTGTCAAAGAGCTAGTCAGAAACGCAATTTGCCCTATTCCATAGATGACTCTATATGCTCCTCATAAAAGCCGGACACGTAATCCTTTCATTTATTTAGTACAGGCACTCTCGACTTGGCCCGTCAAAGACAGAATCTTTTTTTTTTACCCTAACAACTACGTTCTTTTAGTGTTACAAATTGTCATGAGGCCGGCAAAGGGTAAACTGCCGGATTAGACGTGGTCCTTGGAATAAAGCCCATGATACCTGATGGCCCCTTCCCTTGGATCTCTTCTCCTAAAATGGCTTATGCAGCCAACTACCAACTGAGTAGGGAAGGGGGAAGACACCAGCGGGGGCCAACATGGTCACCTAGTTCTAAGATGATGAAAAAGAAAACGTCCCGAATACAAAAATTATCAGAAGGAAAAAAGCTCTTTTGTAGTATAAGTTTCTCTTAGCGATCTGACAGATGCCCTCAGAGTAACCTGAGCTTTTGCCTAGCATTAGCACTTTTTAAAGCCCAAATGCAACCTTGATTTGTGGTATTCGTGTGCAAGGCCATGTGGTCCGGTGCCCAGAAATCTTGAGTACTGGATCTCTTCTTGGCTGCCTGAGTGCCCTTGAGCAAATCACTCCAACATCCCGGTTACAGGAAGTCGAGATAGTCCCACAAGCTACCTGCCTTCCACCTTGACTCACAGCTCCTGGCTCCCCAGAGAATGTGCTGTTAATTAGAGACAGGTCCTATGAAATGAAAATTACCCTGTAGATAACTATTATTTAACAAGATTAAGCCTCATAACATCTTCCACAGATCAGGTTAAGCTCCAAACTTCAGCACCTAACTTTCTTCCCCCATTGAGAATTGAAGGACAAGTTCACGACTGCAGATTCACTCCATTTTCCTGGTTTAAACCTAAATTCAGTATTTTTCTAAAATTCTACCTTACTTGCTAACGCTTCTCAATCAAGACTACACAGTGCTTTAGGTATTCACACTACAACAGTGTTCTGAGTTTTCTGTTTGACTTGAATAGACTGAAAATAGTCATCCTGTTGTCGGGGAGGAGGTTCTTGTCTCCTTGCAGAAGGAATGCAGAAATGAGACACGGAGGTCAAGAAAGCAAAGCAAGGATTTATGAAGGGGTAGGCAGTACTCTCTCAAGGGAAGAACGGGCCGATAGCCGCGCGCTGCTTTGGCAAGCTGGTTATAGGGACGTAAAAATGAGTGGGCAGGGAGACTCGGGGTCGTCCTTTCTGATCTTCATTCCAGCTCCCCTTTCTTGGGGGGGAGGAGGGATTTTTGTCCTTATTTCGTCTTGATGGGGAAGTCAGATGAAGCCATAAAGAACAAAAGGTTACATTTGGTTGGGGGGTATAAGGAGCGAAAGGTTACACTCAGATGGTGGAAGTCCTGTCTTGTCCCATCTTTCCCAGCCTGCCTCCAGGACACTAGTCACCCCAGACGGTATGGCTTCTTATCAGTCCAGAGGTTCCTGCTTTTCTTGATCTGTCCAAGGACCCCCATTGTTCACAAGATGTATGGTTTCCTGCCGTTTGGCCTGTGTCCCCCTTTCTCTGCTCATATCTAGCTACCTGCCTGCTGTAACAATCCTAGTTGAAAGAGTGAGTTCATTTATAAATGGCAAGTTTCTAAATCTCCTATCTCCTAAGTCTCAAACATAGAAATAGAAAGTTAATTGACAGTATATCAGGCATTTTTTTTGAAGTGGAGATCTGCACTACCAAGGAGATATATATATATATAATGTGTGTGTGTGTGTGTATATATATATATATATATATATATATATATATATATATATATATTGTTGTTTTGTGAAACATGGCAAGCTGAGTTTGACATTTATTTAAATAAAAAAAATGAAAACAGTCAAAAAAAAAGGCAAGCCATTTTTGAAGAATATGATGGCAGGCTTGATTCCAGCCGTATCCTAAAGCTATCATGAATACAGTGGTGTAGCATTAGCACAAACAGACAAGCAGAACGGAGAAACAGAGAGACGCAGGCAGCAACGCGAGCACACACAGATGCTTGCTGTACGGAGGAAGTACACCATGTGATGCTGGGACGAGCGGCTGCCCAGACGAACCCTGCCTCGCACAGCCACAGATACATGCCAGGAAGAGTCCAAAATGCCATGTAATGGGAAAGGCAAAAATTATAAAGCACTTTTTAAATGAAAAAAATTTAAAAGATAATGTTTTCATGACTTCAGGATAGGGAAAGACTCCTTAAAACAAGATACAAAAGACACTAAACATAAAAGAAAAGATGGATAGATGTGCCATTGAAATTAAGGATTTCTGTTCATTCAAAAACCATGAAAAGAATGAAAAGTAATCAGAGAAGGAGAGATATTTACAAAATATAACTCAATGATGACTAGTATCAAAAAATGCATCCTACACACATCAGTGAGAAAAAAACAGCTGACAGGAAGACATCAGAAACAGACAAAAGTTTTGAATGGGCACTTTTCAAAAGAAGAAATCCAGTGACCAGTAAGCATATAAAATGCTCAATGCCATTCCTAATTAGGCAAATGCAAAAATAAAACCATGACAGACATCTCTATAAAAAATCACATTGGCTAAAATTAGTCTGGCAGTATCAGGTGTTAGTGAAATGAAGCTCTTCATAACACAGTGGGGGTAGGGGGATATGAAACGTGAACGACATGCCTACCTCCTAATCCAGCGGTTAGACTCCTAGGTAAATACCGTACAGTCACGTGTTTACATGTGCGAAGATGCACACTGCAGCCCCGTAAGACTGAAAACATCACAGCAATGAAATGGCAAATCACACAGCAGTGAAAATGAATAAATCACACAACACATGACATGGATTTTATAAGCAATGTTGAGTGAAAGACACCGACACAACATACAGTATGATTCCATTTTTATAAGTCAAAAGTAGCGACTCATAACCAGCTGCACACATAGCCAGTAAAACCGTTTAAAAGGGGAAGTATGACCATAAAATCGGGATAGTAGTCACCTCTGGGGGACAAAGGGGAGGCTAGAGGGGACACACAGGGCAATCTGGAAGTGCTGGTAATAGCTTTTCTGCACCTGGTTTGTCATTACATAGTTGTCTGCTTTATCCACTAAAGTGCACATCTGTTTTATGTACTTTTCTGAATACTTCTCCAAATTTAAAAAAACAAGAACTCGTACTACCAAATATTAACACTGATGAAAGCTGTAAGTATTAAACTAGTGTGGGAAAAACTAGAAGGCCCAGAAACAGGGCCAAGATACAAAAGACACATAGGAATTTAAAATTCTATGATAGCACTCATTACAGTTTAAATTTAAAAAAATTAAAATCTCACCTCATGCAATATTTCCAAATAAATTTGAGATGGATTAAAAATTTCCTTTTGAATTAAAGATAAGTATAAAAGTGAATTTTTAAAAATGACTAAAAGAAGGATAAATCCATACCAAACCTCGGGGTAGTAAAGGCTTGCTCTCACACCCCTGAGAAGGTGGACTCCTAAAGAAAACAAGCTCTACACCAAACACACCATCAATTGTATTAAAAGGCAAGTGACACACAAAAACAATAATATGTAACAAGAGATGGACATCTTAATTCATAAAGAACCTCTAAGCCAATAAAAATGGCAGACTCTCCAAGAGAATACAGGAGGGCATGAATAAGCAGTGCTCAAACCATGGACGTAAATAGTCAACAAACATGAAAAAACACTTAGCCTTCATTCATAATCAAAAAAACACACATTTCAAAGGTAGTCCTTTTCTACAATTATTCAATTTGCAAAGATTTTAAATAGCAATTTGCGATTCTGGGAGTTTCCTTTATGGCTAGTGGGAATGCCAAGGGGCCATCTTCATGAGTGTGTGATGCACATCAAGTCTCAAAAACTTAAGTGTTCACCAGCAAGTCCCTTCTAGGAAGGTACCTTTTGGAAACAGACCACTTGTATTCAGCTGTGATGGCATTTTAGGATGTTGACTGCATCCCTGTTTTCAGGTTGCATTATAATTAACAAACTGTGAGACAAGATAATTTTGAAAGTTAGCATACACCCATAAAATGGAAGTTATTCTGCAGCTATCTGAAATGCAGAATCTCTAGTATGTGAAAATGTTTACAATATATAGAGCAGACTATTAACTGATGCATAGTATGATTACACTGCTGAAAATATAAATGCAGAGCTATGCAGAGAAAAGTCCGTCCGTGTACGCGTGCCCAAATGCTAACAGAGGCCCTCTCTCCGGGGGTGGGACTACAGGGGACTGTGTGAGTGTGCATGGAGCCCTCCCGTGTTACCCAGCTTTCCAGAAATAACATGTATTTTTATTCTATAAAGAAGAAACAGCAAAGAACTTTGTTATGAAATCATTTACAATTAGTTTTAAAAGTAAAATTAATGAAACTGTTCCCTCAGTGTACTTTCACATTTGCTTTTTGCGGGGAGGGGGCAAAAGGGAGCTGGGAAGCAGGAGCCGCTCCCGAAGTGCAGGCCGTGGGACTGAGCCCCTCCCATCACACGTACAGCGGCCGGAATGTATTTTCATTCAGATGGTGTATATGAAAAGTTCTTTTAAAGTTAAGCTAGATTTAATTAAGCACCACTAAAACATCACATTAGCATTTTGAAATTGCTGTAATTAATACTTTATTCTTCCTTTCAACACTGTTTAAAGGCGCCAACATACTAGACAAAGAAATCTTTGATAACATACGTGTTAATTTCTCTGGAGACAACCACATAATCCTTTAAAATTACATATGTGTGTATATATATGAGATTAAGGTTTCTGCAGCTCATGTAACCCTCTTTTTTGCATGGGAAAGCAATATACTGATAACAAACCAATTGTAGCTTTAAAAAAAAACTGGTTTTCTTATCAAACTGAACCTATCATCTGTTAGTACAATGAACTCAAGTCAGGCCAGGCAGGAGAACCGCTTCTCCCTTCACCTACGTCCGTCATCTTGGGCTTTTCCTACAGCTCATGTTACTCCAGGCAAATCTGGTCACCTAGACCCACCCTCCAGCATCAACTAAAAGGACTCTTTATTCCTAATCAGAAGGAAAACATTCTTCCTAAGGAAAGACAGAAGAAGGAAACAAACACTTAAGAATCTTCTCTGAGCGTCTTCCTTGGTATCTCACATCCAACGCCGCACGTCCCATGCAAACATGCACAAAATTCTCTACGTTGCTCCCTTCATTATTCAGAAAGGGAGGGGCCTGTGTCTTCCTAATTCATTGTAGGTGATGGCCTGGGACAACTTAATAATTCACTGAAAGACATGTAATAAATGCTACTTGACAGAGGTAAGAATAAAGAGAAAAGCGGTTGGTCACCTGCTTTTATTTGGCTTAGAGAAAAAAATGTGCTCTAGTGTACACTAACATATCAGATCAACAGATGACATACTGCAAAACTTTAATACAGTGTGATTAAGCACAATATTCAATTTTTAAACTTTTCAAGCACATGAAAGTTATCTTCTCAAAGTGGGCTACTTTCATAGCTTCCTTTGTGTACCTTTACAAAATTCTTTCCACAAGGTCTGACACTGATCTTGATACTTGTTAGAAAGTCTGATGGAAGATAATGAGATCTCAACAGGCAGAGATGCAGGAGATTATCCGGACACCCATCTTCAGAATTCATCATCCGAGGACCGATCGTCACCCTCATCCCTTACTTCTCGGTATTTCCTAGAAGATTCTCCTTCTGGATTATAGCTCTGCATTTTAATATTCAGTCTTTCAGCTAATTTTTGTGCTGCCAGCTTGGCTTGCATCTCCTTTAAAACAGAAAGCAAAGCAGAAAGTTACACATGCGCATCTTATCCCTACAATTTTTCAATGGGAAGTCACTGGAACAGACTCGAATTAAAGGGGCTTTCTGCTCTACTGGGCGCTCTCTACAGCACTGCGCCCACCACAGACACCACAGGGCAAGGCTGGGGAGAGCTACGAGCCTGCTGCGGCGGTGGTGACAGACTTGCAGCCATAAACAATGTGCACCGAAACATCCCACCTCTACAGGAGAAACTGAGTCATCAGCTTGGCACTTCAATGGTTATAAATACAGACACATTTTCAAGTATGTGGGCACCTGATCTGTATGTACAAACTTACAGAACAATTTCAACTGTCAAATGTCAAAAATCACCAATGCTATACTGATTCTCCAAGGGGAAGAATCTTTCTCCCTGGATTAAATCATGGCTTCTAGGCCTGAGAGGTACATTTCGACACCACAATGAAAATCAAAGAATTAACACTAAAAACTGATTGTCACTCTTCAAGTTAACTCCCATGAATATTACCATGCAGTCAAAAGTTCAGTTAAGTTTCAGACACTGGCAATGTGCGTATATACACCCAAGGACATCGTCACCAGCTGATGGCGGGTGGCGGTGCTCATTCCTGACCCGGCTCCTCGCCTTGCCCATGCTGCCCCCAGACCACCTGAGCTTGTTCCTGTCCCTGCCCTCGGGCCACGGGCAGTGTGGGTAGGTGGGACTGAAGTGGGAGCTGCTGCTACCACTACCACTCTGCCAGGGAAACCAATTTCAAACTGAAGGGTTTAATTCAGCCTACGAATATCTCAGGACAGACACTGAAGGCCACATAGACAATTTAAAAAACAATTCCTCCAGGCTCAGTGACAACTAGGCAATAACTTCAATGCACTGAGAGGAAGAAAAATGGCTTTTAAAAAGGAAGGCCTTAAAAATGCCCATCCGTGCTACCTGGGCTTCTATGAAAAGCCCAGGCAGAATAACAAGCTAGGTCTGCATTCACTGGTGTTTACAGTACCCGATTAAAGCCTAGCCAAGCAGCATTAGGTCTGGCAGCTGTTTTCCTGGAGGCTCAAATGATCGCTGCCTAAGAAAATCAGACCCTTTCTTTTCTCTCAGTGGTCCTCACTTACCTTCTGTCATCCCATTACCCTGTACACAAACTGTCAACTTACACATTTAAAGTTCTATGCAGAACACACAGATCGTGAAGAAAACGCTCCAAAACTGATTCAGTGAACGAAAGTAAGAGATTCTTCTGTCTTCACAAGGGCCCGCAGATTTGCTGTTAAGCTTAGTGTCCAGCTGTCTGTTGACAACACACCACTTCCCACCCATCTCATGGTCTCCTCGGTACCACAGGAGACTGGAGCCTGGAAACCACACTGCCCTGACTCTTAGCAGGGTTCCAGGTTAAACGTCACCACTGACACGTTCTCACGCAGGTTTCTCAAGGTGGAAGACCAAAAGCGATGCTACTGCTACCTGACGGTCTGGCTTTTCAGAGCCATGAAATTTCACAGTGGTCTCTGCACATTTCCCAGCAAACACCACTTTGGTGTCACAGGCAGCTGGACCGTTTCCTACAGTGCCAGCAGCCTCAAGACTGCAAGCTAGAGGCACACATCTGAGAGCTCATGGCATGCACAGATGCCCACATCTCTAGCACCTCGTGCAGTCTACTAAACCCTGCTCTCCCTGAACCTCCAGGAATAAGTTCGGACTCATGTAAGCCGCATCTGACATGCAGACAAGACACAACCAATCCTCTAAATACCTCATAGCTCTGTTTCTGCTGTTTCTGAAGTGCCAGAGACTCCTCTATGGAGAGCAGCTGTGCAGGCAGATGGTGGAGCGGCAGGAGCCGGGCTGCTGTGATGTCATCAAGGTGCTTCCTGTCCCTGAGCCGCCTCTCCTCTGAGCAAACAGGAGACCCTCGCCTCTGACAGTGACTCGACCAGTCGTGCTGCTGTGAAGGTAACCTGGAGGGGGGAAAACTTCCGTCACACCATCAGACTGGTTTCCTTACACAGACACCTTCGCAACATTCGCACACACGAAAGTGGCCTGTAACCTGAGCAGTTAATTCTTCTACAAAGGTGACAGTAAGCACTGTACCACTATTTACCTGTGTAGATAAAACTTGGTCCTTTTTCTAACATATTTACCTCAAAAACAGAACTACTGCAACTGGCACGTTTTTGGAGAGTAATTTGACATTTCGTTGTTCTAACAAGTAGGAGTCTTTCCCTTCTCTCTTCAAAGTTTATACTTGAACTGAAGCCTGTTTTTATTTTTTCATTCAAAAACATTTGCTAAGGGGCTTACTGCCCAGCAGAGGGAAATAAACTTGTCAGCCCTCAGTGCAGTATCATATCACAGGGACCACGACACGGGCCCACACAGGGTATGCTGGAACAAAAAAAAGGGAACACCCAGTTGGAATAGGACAGGGGGAGGTTGTCAGAAGAGCTTCAAGAGTGCACTTTGAGGAGTTTTGGAATAGCAAGTATTCAGGAAATGAGGGGAGAAGGGCATCCCAGCGGCGGGTGCGAGGGGACCCGCTGCGGCGCACGGGAAGCAGGGGTGGGGACTACAGGACAGGCAGTGGGAGGAGGCTGGGGAGCAGGCTGGGTCCAGCCCACTGTGAAGATGTCTATGAACAGGTTCAGCTTTACAGTCTGCAAACTGCACTCTGGCAGCAGTGGAGAGGATGGACCAGTGGAGTTAAGACTAGGCCAGGACCAACCACAACTACAGCCCAAGAGAGGGATAATAGCCTTCACCTTCATAGGAGAGAGGATGAACCCAGGAATAATGGGAGGTGAAGGTCCAGGAAATCAGCTGTGTAGGTCCTCGTGGCAAGCAGAGGTAGAAATGAGGGAAAGAAAGGAGGTGGTGGCACTCTTCATTTAGGGGATAGGGGAGAAAGTAGTTCGGGAAGAAATGAGTTCTGCATTGCACGTGATAGGCCTAAGGTGCCACAGAACAGCCCCGCATGGTCAGGCTTCACAGGGAACTGGACGTGCAAATCTGAAGTTCTGGGAAGACCAGGCTAGAAGTAGACGAGGGGCAGCTTCCTGCATCTAGAAGAGCATGTAGGAGAGGCCAAAGGAAGAGCCGAAAAGGAGCCAAAGGACACCACCGCATCCCACCCTCCAACCTCCATTTGTCCAAGGCCTACCGACCCATCAAGGCCCAGGCTTTACCGATAACTGCACCCAAGTGTCTGTCTGTCTCTTGTAGACCTTCCCTTGCTAACCCTCACTGGCATTCCTTTACCTCCTCCCACTCCCAGCTAAATGACCACAACACAGAACTGGGGTCAGTATATTCTGTTTTATGTGTTGACTAGATGATGATTCTGGCTTTTGGTCTACCTAGAAGTAAGGAAAGATACCTCACTACACACAAGCCATTACTTAAAGATTCCCTTTTATTCCTAACCAAAAATTAATGTAATATAATCCTCATTTTCTATGTGGGAGAAATAATTTTGAGATTAAAAAAAATAATGGTAAGAGAATTAAACTTGAAAGTCTCTATAAGAATAAAAATTGGTTTTAGGTATTTTTAACTGTAGACTTTCATTTTTCAAAGAAAGGCACAGTGGTTAGACTTGTATCTGGTGTTACATTTTTGTAAATCTACTCCCTCACTTGGGTGTTCTATTTGCATTTCTCTTTTCTCTTCGGATAGCTTTTGTTTTCCTGAATATGTCAGAAATAAAACTATGACTCAGAACTTAGAAGCAGGGTTAATTTCCTACCCCCAGCCCAGTCCCGGCCCAGATGTTTTCAGGTTTTTAACCCCTTCTCAGCTCCCTCCCCCTAAAATGATTATACAGTTTAATGTTCTTCCAGCTATGTAAGACTTGGGTCCTCATCTAGGTCCTAAACTCTATGAGGAGCAGAATCTTTACTTCTGTGTCGCCACGGCACCAGCTGCCCACGTACAGCGTACACACAAATATTTTTTGCTGAGAAAGTCCATCAGCTCCTGCAACCGTTTTCCCCTTAGCTGAAATTCTCATCAAAGGGGGAGCAATATAGCAGAAAATGGTTCTGGGAAAAAATCAGAATAAATTCTCTGTTTAATATGAAATATCGCCCAAGTATCCTGAAATTTAATACTCTAGCTGCTATTTAAAAGTTTTTCAATTATTTGGCTAAAAAACTACAGCATTTCTCAACATGACCCCTCTGCTCCAGCCAGGCTAGAGTTTCCACAATCTGCTCATTGCTAACCGCAGGCAGTTCTCACACATGGTCCAGAGTTTAACAAGTAGTATGCTTCTGTGGCCGATGTACTTACACATTGGTTTTAAATTTATGTGGTGGGGGCAGGGGGTTTTTGGCTCGAATTTCTAGCACTTCCATGTAATGAGGCTTCCTCTGTGGCTCGCTCTGAAGGCCAGTCAAGTTCTCAGTACTCGTGTTTTCTTCTGAGCGGTGTTCACTTGAGTCTGCAATCGTGATCCTTTGTAATCTATCAATAAACTGGTTGTCAGAGCTGCTAGAACTATCCTCCGCTTGACCAGCAACACGATGCTGAGGGAGAGGCGCACGAGCTTCGGCCGAGGGAGGTGTGGTAGCTCTGCTGCCCGAAGCTGGGCACTTGCTCACCGTGAACTCAACCTCGGGGGCCTCTGCATTGCCTCTGCGGGGAGGATGGACAGGTTCCTGCTGTCGTGAGGTTGTCTGAGATGGCGTGACGTTAGCTACAGAGGAACAGCCAGGAACTAGTGATGAAGTATCAAGTATCTGGTCAGAGTTCTGGGCCTTTTCTGTGTCCACATCAACAAATGCAACTGCCTTCTGCCTCTGTTTACAGTCTAAACTAACGGGATGCAAGAGTCCACTTCTTCCTTGAATTTCTTCACGCTCTGTAATGGCAGCTTTCAGTTTGGCGACAGAGTCTAAGATCTTTTTACCTTTGTCGGGCAATTTGCAAATGAATTTTCTGGCAAAAGGAAAAGAACATGTATACATAAGAGAGAGCCATGTTTTTAAACTTGAGATATCAAGACAAAGCATAATTCTCAAAGGGAGAGGAAACAGTCAAAAATGTGATTTCCAAGTACCCCAAAAGAGAAATAAAACAACAGAATCATTATCCAAATACCCCTCAAAAAACAAGGGGCTGCAGGAAAAATAGGGAATAGGCCTCATCTGTCTCATCTAATTAGAATTTCAACAAAAGTATTTTAAACATATATGACATTCCAAAAATCAGCAGTTTTAAAAGTGTGATCTCAAAGGCTTTCCTGGGGAGGGGAATGGAGGGATCTGCAAGGTCAAAACTATTTTTATAACAAAACTAAGACATTATTTGCCATTTCTTATTTTCTTACAGGAGTACAGAGAAGTTTTCCAGAAGCTACACGTTATATAACAACATCACTGCTCTGATGGCTAACAGAAAGTATGTACTTGGGTAATCTTTTGTTTTAAAGATTCTCACTTGTAATTCCTAAGACAATGATAAACATCAGTAGATAAAACACACATAAGACAAGAGCTCTTTGGGATGCTCAATTAAATCTTAAGAGTAAAAGGAGTCCTGAGACCAAAAGTTAACTAACGCCTACAGATCAAAAACCCATTCTCACAAAGGCAAAACAGCTGGCTCTACCAGGAAGCCCCCAAATGATGATTTGCCCTTTTGTCTGAGTGATAGAAGTTCCTTTTCTGATTTTCTTTTCTTTAACTACACAATAAATAGGGAAGGTTCCATCTCAGGCTTTCTATTCTTTCTGACACTACAATCATTTCCCCAATTTCAACTATTACTCTCCCTCTCCAACTGAGATGCGTGTATATTCCCAGCCTTCTCTTCTCTCTTGAGCCTCGGGATCACTTCTCCAGCTTTTAACTAGATAATAATTAACTCTCCCATCAAATCAGTTCGCCTAAGTGAAGTCAACCTGGGACCTATTCCCCTCCCCCAGCCTTCCTATTTTTATTAGTGGTGCTCCACGCGGTCTAGAAACTTCAGCCGTCTCTCAACTACATGTTCAAATTAGTCCACACCTGATGCAGTTTTCCCAATCCCACAACCACCCTTCTAGTTCACTTTTTAAAAATCCCCTTGTTGGGAACCATCTCTGAAAATATCCTCCTACCGTCTTCTGCCTCTTTTCCCTTCCAACTATCCTGCACCAACCTGCTAAAATAAGCTTCCTGAAAAATCATTTTCATTATATCGATCCCCCGGTAAAATCCGTGAAGTCCACCAGCTGAGTGTGAGTCAAACTTTCTTTGCCTAATAAACCCCTCTTTTATCCCACTCTTCCCATGTCCTAGGTTTCTGTAAAAATAGGGTCTAGAAATGAAATTGACAAGATGTTTGGGGCACGACTGCGGGGGGAGGGGGGCACAAAAGAATTTGGGATACAGATCTTCCCTTCAGAAAACCGACACAGGAGCTGAATAAGTAAAACCACGAGGAGCTGACGAGCTGAAATGCTCCGCAGCTGGTCAGCACGGAAGCCATCCCGCAGGTGGTCGGTGTCCGGCCGGAAGGGGTCGGCTCTGCGGCTGCAGGCCGGCCGCTGGCCCGCGCGCCTGGAACGGACCCGCCTGAAGCAAGGTCACCTTCCAGGTAAGAGAACGGGGTTAGGGGTGAGGTGGGGGGCGTAAGGTGGGAGGGGAGGAAGGGAGGACGCGTCCCGGGGAGCCCGAACCCAAGGAGCCCGGCGGTGACTCGCGGGACCCACGCTTACACGTTGCGCGAAAGTCTCTCCTGGCGCCTCAACATCTCCCGCAGCTCCGCCAAACTCCGCTGCCCCAAGTCCTCGGGAGCTTGGGGCTCGAAGCCGCGGGGCAGCGAGGACATTCTGCGGGGGCTGAGGCTGGCGAGGCGGCGGGCACTCGGCGTCCTCGGCAGCCCCCGCTGCTG